GACGATAGAATATCTACTTGAAGATTAAAGCTTTATGGCCACTATGTCCATACTGTCTTCTTTCTAATCCATAAATAACAAGATTTGGTCTTCAGTGAATGGTGATGTGGCAGAATAGGAAAAAAAACAACATGGCTATGATGCTAATACTAGTGACCTTGAGCACATTGTTTCACTTCTCTGATCTTCAGTTGCCTCACACAAAATATAAATAAAATGATGTGTTGTGCTGACAATAACATACAAGAAAATCCTAGCACGCTGCATGGAACATGGATAGAAATGAAGGGTCATATGTCTTCCTTTATCTATACCATCAGGATAACAAGCTCTGCCACACTCCGTCCTTCCTTTATTTCATGAAGAACGGCCACGAGAGCATTTGCAGGGGAGGAAAAAGAGGGGCGGAGGCTAGCAAACTACCCTGGTTTTAGATAAGTAATTTATGACCCTTCCACTCTTCTGAAAAATTTCAGTTCCCCCTTCTCTCTCTCCCTCCCCCTCCTCCTCCCCTCCCCTCCTCCTCCTCTCCCAGTTTCTGCTTCATTTTTCTGCAAGGGTCAACACACCTGAGGTGGCATGACACTGTCCCCTCAGGAGAGAACCAGTTTCTTCATCATGGCATCTTCCTTTCCAGGCAAGCAGACTCTGTTCTTAAAGGAATGGCAAGTACAAGAAAAACTAGAGAAGATTTCATAAAACACCCTGAGGCCACGGGGCTGGAGAGAGGGCTCAGCGGTTAAGAACACTGGTTGTTCTTGCAGAAGACCCAGGTTCAAATCCCAGCACCCGCATGGCAGCTAACAACTGTCCGTAACTCCAGTTCCAGGGGATCTGACAGTCTCTTCTGTCTTCCCAAGGCATTACATGACACAGGTGCGCTTACCTACATTCAGGCAATACACTCATGCACATAAAATAAAAATAAATTTAAAAAAACAAACAACAACAAGAAAAACACCCTGAGGCCAAGGGAAGGGAGGCCTGCTGCATGCACGCATGGTAGAGGGGTGCCGGCCACTGCTTGCCAAGCAATCTTACGAATGAAACCTACTGGCTTTTGAGACTCTAAATGACTATGCCCTTTTCCTCTGGGCTGAGCTTTATTACAGCAGATGGACCTGCTGTTAGTTTATCTCTGTCAAGCCAGAGAAAGATGAAGAATCATGGTGACAGTGGAGGTGTCTCACAGTCGCAGTGACAAACTCCTTCCTTACATTCATTTTCTGATTTCTCCATTACACATTAGAAAAAGCAGCCTCTTCAGTAAAAGCAACATATGAGAACCACCTATCATTGAAATCACTGCCTAGAGTTTGGAAGGCTTTGGAAATTTTTAAATTAAATCACTCTTGAAAAGCTGGACTGGAAAAAAAATCACGTCTTCAACAAAAATACAGTTTATACTTTAAAGAAGAAAAAGCATCTTAAAAGCAATAATGGGAGTTGGAACTCTGGTGGTTGAAAGTGTGGTGAATTCTGGACAGAAAGGAGGGAATCGCATCTCTGAGATGCTAGTGAGGAGTATTTCACTCTCACACAGTGGAGAAATGGGGATCTGTGCAGAGTACAGATATATTAATAGATTTTAGTGTCTCCAAGCTTTCCACACCTTTAATCTGGAGAGAGGCTCTCAGTAAGTGAACTAGTGCTCTCCTCCCTGCAGGGCTGACAAGCCTCTATGCACCTGAGTGAGGAAACCAGCCCCCAAAACAGTATACACTAAAAACTGAGTAAGGAAATACAGAAGGCCTGCTTTAACAAAGAACAACACCCACAATATGTATTAAAGTTTTTCTCATTCTTTTCCTCCTTTTCATTTGTGGCCTCTGTTTTGCCTAAGGTTGTGAAATGCTCTTGTATATCAAAATCCACAAGCTGCCTTTTCTTTTGCATTTTTTAAAAAAATAAATATTTCCACTTCTAAGAACAGAGAACTCTGGTCTCTAGCTAACAGCAGGTCCAGATCTACAGGCACTGGAGAAAAATGTCACTTTGTTCTAGAAGCAATTATCCATATAGTATAGGAAAAGGCCAATTTTGCCATATAAGGACCACACGTGCTATGTGTTTGTTATATTATTTGATATCAAAGCAGAAACATCAGTTCTTCCTAAAACAAATGAACTGAAGAGCCTGGCCGAGGATCGCCTACATCTAATTCAGAGACATCCGTTACAGTTTACAGAGCTTGGTAATGCTGACTCGACTGCTGTACCACAAAGGGACATCTTGTTGACTACTTTACAAACTGTGATTTCTTGAATTCTATATATATTTTGAGCAAAACAAGCATGATTCATATTCCTTATCATGAATATAAGTAGACCGGCATTGTGCAGTGCTTAGGTATCACATCCACAGGGAGGGTGTCTATAGAGTGAATTAGCTTCTCTGCTCTATTTCTGGCATCATAATGCTGGTGCGATGACTGTTATTTTATTTTATTTGGTCTCTGTGATCTCTATATAGATCAAACTTGTATCAGGAATGCAAAGATCAATGAGGCACAGACCTTAGGAAAATATATTTTAGGATGGGCAATAGAAGACAGGGCAACACAGACCAAATTTTATATAGCATATATTTGGGGGGGAGAGGAATAATTCAGAATGTGCTAGTGTAAAAGTGGTCAGGGATGATGACACTAGAAGTCAGTTTGAACAGAGTTTCTTAGGTGGATTAGGTGGCTGGGTCCTCCAGGAAGCAAATATGCAAAGTTATGAGTGTGTGAGAGATCTTGAGACTGCACACCACTTGCTTGTCCTAAAGTGTATCGGTGTATGAAAAATGAGCTTGAAGACAAGAGAGCACCAGGCCAGTATGGCTCTGCACACTATGAAAGGAATCTGAACTACATACCACAGGGCATGTTTCCACACAGTTCCCAAAGACTCTACAGATAAAATAATTAAAACAGTATGATACTGGCATAGAGGTAGATAATGTGATGAAACAGAGTAGGAAATGGGAGACAGCATAGAAAACCTAGATGGTGAATATGTAAAAGGGTGAGAAATGAGAAGGCGGAATTTTCAATTTTGAACAAAGAATCTTCAACAAACGATGCTTGGCCAACTGACTGACCATTGAAAAATGAAATGTAATTTCTATATATCACACCATACACTTAAAAGAACCCTTGAATGAATTAAAGATGTAAATGTAAAACAATTAGAAGAAAATGTTTATAATCTTGGGGTTGCAGATGTAATATTTTTTGGTGTTCTATAGTCTCTTAGTGTGACACTGTTACATAGCTCAAAGAAAAATAGATTTTATCATAAGATCACAATCTTCAAAAACTTCCGAAAGGCTAATATATTACAGCTGTAAGAGAAAAGCAGTTAGGAAAAATGTAATCTATGCAGCAAAGAATTTGTGTCTGTAATATATGTAATTGAACTAAACACCAACAAATCAACAATAAATAAATAAAAGTGTAACCCAAGAGAAGTGGGTAGAGGGTACAAATAGCCACTACATGAAAGAAACGACACCCAGTGATTTAAACATATGCTCAGCACTGGCAACAATTAATACAGCTTTATTTCTCACTTATTTGATGGTAAACAGGAGATGCATGCCAGTGACAGATATCCCAAAGAATAATTCATAATATTCTATGTTTTGCAGGATGAGGAGAAATAGGAATTCTTAAATACTAAAGTCACAAAGTC